TTCATGCATTTTCTTGAAAATTACCTAACTTGTGCACTTCATAACTTGCTCATATTTAATCTTTTGAAGATGATATTGGAATTTTTGGAAATCCCAAGATGTCCTATACACTTTCTCTTTTAATCATTTTTGTATTTGGAGACATTAACTTGATGTAAGTTGCCTTGACAAAAGGTGTCTTTTCTCGACTTTCTGAAAATGACTTGTATTGTATGAGATCATATCTTTCAAATGATGCATCTTTTGGACTTGAGAATAAAATAAAAGTTGTAGGGAATTGAATTTTCTTCAAAATGGGCTTTGTTTGGGGAAAATTTGATGAAGCATGTGAAAGTTATGCCTGGTCAAAGTTCAGTTGACTTCTCCTAAGGAAACCCTAATTTGGCAATTCTTGACTTTTGATGATCTGAGGACTTTCCTTGAGGAATCATGATCAACACTTGATAAAATGATGAATATCAATTAAAAATGTTTAGGTTGACCAAAAATCTTTAAGTTTGACTATGTATTGACCATAGTTGACTTTTTGACCAATACAACTGGTTTTTAAACATTTGAGCCATTGACTGAGCAAAATTGTGATGCAAGGCATGAAACTTGGCATGGATATTCTTGAGGACATATTAGGAACCATGGAAATCACTTGAGGCCTTTTAAACTCAAACTTCTTTGTGAAAAATGAAACCCTAGTTGGAGATCTATTGCTTAGGAGGAGAATTTGTCTGGTCAATTCTTAGTCAACTTTGAGCATTTGGGGACCTCTATGAGTATGTCTTGAATAAAATGAGAGGGAAAATTTTGGGGTACAACATATATTACATTAATAACAAATATACATAATAACCAATACTTACAATTGAAGCAGTGCAACCCTTTTTAATCTCATACTTCTCTTTCACCCAATCACCTCCATAAAGCACCATTTTAACTGTCTTAGTTTTCATAGATGATCGTTTTGGATCAATAACCCTTTTCCCAGCACTAAAATTTGCTTCAGAAATAATACTAGTAACTGGAACAATTAGGATATCTTTTTCCAATTTACTAATAATATGACACTTGGCTTCATTCCCTATCCACCATGTTAAAACATCAAATTTAGCTTTAGGGGGAACTTTCAAGGGAGGCTCCTCAAGATATAATTCAAGATCGGATATTGAATTATTATTACCCACAATAGTTTCTAAAAACCTCTCAAAATTACTCCTTCCCAACCCAAAAGTAGATCCTACTTCTGGACTTTCAGATACACCACCAGCAGGGGTAATCTCATTATTGGTTCCATAGGCATCTTTATACAATTGGAAGAGGGAACTTAAGTTGTTTGACAAATCTTGTTCATAGATAGTTTCTTGAGAAGGATTTGGATACAAGAAGGGGTATACCTATTTGATGAAGATCATTTTATACCTATTGCATAAAGTAAAGTATCAGGAAATAGTACATGCCTCAGAATAATTCACAAGGCAACATATAATGGCCTCATAATTAATTTTAATCATGGGCAAGGCAATATACAAGGAGGTAACAGATTATGCCTTAGTCACAAGTAAATTAACAAGCAGGTAACATAACAGACCTCAGATAATTGATGTCAAATGAAATAGATCAAATATAATTCATCATAGGCACTATTAAATCACAACTAACTAGTCAACTTAATTGAATCAATAGGAAGTATTAAGTCACAACTCACAATGCAGATTATGCCTCAGACAATCATTAATATCATACAGTATTCATCATTGGCATTTGGCATCGAATAATAATGAAGCATATCAAACATATTTCATCAAAGGCCTCAGATAATCATTAATATCATACAAAATTCATCCTAGGCATCAGCTAATAATCAAGCAAATCAAACAGATTTTATCATAGACATCAGATAATAATGAAGCAGATCAAACAAATTTCATCAAAGGCCTTAGAGAATCATTTATATCATACATAATTCATCATAAGTAGCAATTAATAATAAAGCATATCATATAGATTTCATCAATGCCTCAGATAATAATGAATCATATCATACATAATTCATAATTGGCTAACATGTTCATACCTTGGATCATGGATTGAACCAATAGAAATCAATGTATTAGAATTTGGCCAATACTTGTCATATTTCAACTTCATTTCATTAGCAAGCGCCTGCAGTTGAGGATTATTTGAGATACTAGAAGGTTTATCAAGTAGAACCTTCACCTTGTAAAGCTCAACCAAAAATAGATTAGCAGTAGGGTAAGAGGTGCCACTTATAATTGATGTCACATCAGCAAAAACTTCCAAAAACTTACAAATATCATGCACATCTTCCCAATCATTTGCCTCGGGAAAAAAACAGAGAAATGCACCATTTTCCTCAGCGTATCTAGGCCACACTTCTCTATAGTGGTATGTAGTTGACAACATCAACCAAGTTGAGTTCCACCTTGTCTTGGTATCCAACACTTGCATTCTTCCTTCAAGTTGCAACTCATCAACAAACTTTTTGAACGCTTTACATCTAGTTTCAAAATTCAGAAAGTATTTGACACCATTTCTTATCTTATCAACAGTCACCTTAATCATATCAAGACCATCCTGCACCAACAAATTTAAGATGTGTGCACAACACCTTACATGAAACAATTTAGCATCTAAGGGTAAATTTCTCCTACCAGAATAATCCCTCTTCAATCTAGCAATGCAATTATCATTGGCACTACCATTATCTACAGAACTTGAAGCTGCCTTATCCCTTATTCCACAATCATCCATCACCTTAATCAACTCCCTACATAAGACCTCCCCAGAATATGGCGGTGGCACATTCAGAAAAGATAAAACTCTTTTATGAAGCTGCCATTTTGAATCAATGAAATGACCTGTCACAGTCATATAACCTATCCTTTGTTCATCATACCACCACAAGTCAGTGGTAAGACTGACCCTGTTAATCAAAGCCATATACCTTTACATCTTAACTCTCTCAGCCTCATAAAGTGTCTCACAATCAAACTTAACCTGCTGCCTAGTAATTTTTTTGTACCATGGATAAATCTCCCTAAGAAACTCATTAAAAATAACACCTTCCATAATAGAAAAAGGAAATTCATGACATAGAATCATATGTGCTGCAAGTTCTCTAACCCTGGCATGATTATATGTCCAGGTTGCCAAATTTGGAGTACTATCACATATGTTTAACCTAGACTGTATAACCTCTTTGTCATTATTACCTTTCAACCTCAACTTTCTCTGAATACAAATAGCTAAATGTTTCTTACCATTAGATATATTTTTCCACTTCATATCATATGTGTAAAACTTACCACACCATCTACACTTCCACTTCTTACCACCAGGTCCTTCAATAAGCACAATTTCAGTATGAACAACACATTTTTGGGACGAGGAGCTTTACCAAAAGCATTTATCTGAAAACTCTGATCTTGGTCAATTGCAGGGGTTGACCAATCAGTATTGATAGTATTTTTAGTGAGGGTATTTTGAGTGGTAGTATTATCATTGGGGGTGTTTTGAATGGTAGTATTATCAGTGAAGGTATTTTGAACTGGAAGCTCTAAATCAATCATCTCATCAATCTCTAAATGACCCCCATATGTTGTCTCCTCTTCCCCAATATCAGTAAGCAACATATTAATATCAAGTAGATCATCCATGATTGTAGGAGTCAATGACGAATTTTTAAAAGACATGGAACAAAACACAGTCAATCAAACAATAATTTTTTATGAAATTAAAACAAAGCTTAGCAACACAGACCCTCAAAATTTATTAAGAACAGAAGAAGACAAACAATTATTCAAAATCCTAGCCTTACCCTTTATTATTATTAATCAAACGGTAAAACACAAATCTCAAGTCAAAATTGTAACATGCAAAGATATTAGGTCAACGTTAAAACATAAATCTTTGATTTAAAACACAAACCCTAGCTAAAACTTTAAAACAATTTAGATCAAAAATAATTTGTTCAACACTGAAACATGGTATTGGTATTGAACAATTCATCAAACTATTCAAAACAAACATGCATACTAGGTAAAGATAAATAATACTATAAAAAAATAAAAAATATAAAAATTTGAATACATTACAAGTTTATGGAAGCTTCTGAAATATAAGAAGAAGAAGAACACATATACTATAGTAGAGTATTTAGGTTGAACATCATCATCAGACAGAAAAGGGGAAGAGGAGATCGTCGGAGGAGGGACTGAGGGAGAAATGGGGAGCATAAACTGGAGGAGGGGAAAAAACGATTAAATGATATGAAAATAAAATTTATATCATGTGTTCCGGGTACTCATTGGATAATTAGTCTGGATCTTCATTTGGGTAATGAATAACATTTTTATTCAGGACAAATCTATTTATATTTTCGGTTGGACTAATAATTCAGCTCTACCGGTCCGAATCTCAATCCGAATCTCAAATCATGAGATCCAATAACAACCTTACTTGTGCCCTTGGGGCACATGTTAGTTTTTTCCCTTTTAAATTTATGGTTATGAATATTGGTGTCGTTGATGTAATAAAATTACAGTACTAAACAGATAGAGTACCATGTTAAACATACACTTATAAAATTCTCCCCATGTTAGGAATAAATTGAGAAAGTATCCTAAAATATATGAATACTCCCATCCTACCATCACCACACATGATTAGCGCCCCCACTCTCGGAACTAAAAGTGGGCCGAAACGACATCTCAGTTGGCAAAGATTAAGAGTCACCTTCAAACATCATTAACAGACCCCACTACCAAACGCTCCTTTTGAATCCTTCTTTTAAATTTCCTACTTTAACGATCACATGGCTTGTTACGCACCTTTTTCATTTGAAAATTCAAATTTCGAAACGGTTGCACTTCCTCAAATCAATGAAAACGCCCCCCATAAATTAACTCATAATAATAAAAACAAAACGGAAATAAATAAATACCACTGTTTTTATTTTCTGTAGTGAAGTTGGAAAGTTGCAAAGAAACATGGGAGAATCAGTGTCGTTTGGGAGGTTCACGACAGAGTCATTAGCATGGGAGAAATGGTCAACATTCTCTCAGAATCAGAACCGTTATGTTGAAGAAGCTGAGAGGTTTTCGAAACCTGGTTCTGTTGCACAGAAGAAAGCTTTCTTTGAACAACATTACAAGAAACTCGCAGCTCAAAAAGCAGCTGCGTTGCTTGAACAAGCAAGAATTGATGAGGCAGAAAGTGCAAAATCTAAAGACGCTGTCAATGAAGAAAATGCCGAAAATTCAAATGTTGAGTCCACTTTACCTCAAAGTGAAAACAAGGCTTTTGTAAGGAATTCAATGCAGAATCAATTTGAAGATGTTGACAGTTGTTATACTAGTAAGGATCTAAGTGAAAAGGTTAGTGGAAAAACTCTATGTTTTTTATTAGTGATCTGGATTCTTTGTATGCAAGGATCTCCTGCATTCACACATACAGCAGTTCAGCAATTTGATCAGATATCTCAGATAAAACTCGTTTGAAATCTGAGACATCTGATCAGATGGTGCCGCACTGCTATTTGTGTTAATGCAGAAGATCACGAAATGTTTTAGTTTATTTGTTGCCACAAATATTTTTTTTACAGGAATGGTTATTTGTGTGCGAGTGCAGTTCAGGATTAACTACACTCGCACACACTAGGCAAATATCATTTGGAACATATCATTTACATAGTAATACTTATTGTTATTGCAGAAAGATTCTGACTTTGGCAGCCAAGTTTTGCAATCAATGGACAAATCCACATATCCTATTATTTCAGATAGAGATAACATCGCTACACCAATGAACAATAAGGCTTCATTAAGAAAGAAGAGATCAAAAGCTAAGTCACTACCCATGTCAGTTAAGTTTGCACTCATTAGACAAATTACTAGGTTGAATTCAATGTTAATGAAGAAATTTGAAACTACAAGAGCTCGTTCTGGTTCTTCCATAGCTTCAAAGGATATATGGATTCCTCTAACAACACCAACTAAGGTAATAATAAATCTTCAATTTTTACCATTTCATTACAAGACAGAGAGTTCTATTTTGTTATGATGAGTTGTTGTAATTGCTAAATTGAACCTTTTTTCAATTTCAGGCCTGTAAGAATGAGTTACAGAAGCACCCTTCATTTTCCCCATTATCAGAAAAGAAAAGGTACAACTTATGTTAAACTAAACTCTAATAACCTTTATTGCACCGACACTTTTGATTGAAGTCGTGTCTAGTATGTGTTGATGCCAGACACTACATCGACACATATTAATATCATTTACTTGTTTGTGACAAATTTGTTTCAAGACTAAAATTTCCAATGTTTTATGCATGCAGAAACATAATGAAATCACTTACTATATCTTCCCATCTCAGCTTGAAAACAGACGAAAGAACTCCGCGTAGAAACAAGGTAAAGCCCTATACCCTACTTTATTAGATCATTGCAATGTGAAATGTAAATTGTCATTGACTCATATGTTATCATTTATCTTTCATGGTTCCTTCTTGAGTAGTACTTACATGGTTCTCTTTCAGGAGAGATCACACAAAAAGAATAGAAAACTGAGACTATGCTTTTGTTTCAAACCCGAGTTTAACAAAGAAAGTGAAGATTCTAACAGAGGGACAAAAGAGGTATATTACCACATTTGTTTGATAAATTGTTGATGTTAACCATGTCTCTGAGAACAGGTTGTAATTAATCATCCATAACAATAAAAAGTTGATAGTAATTCAGTTGCTGATTTCTTGCAGGATTCACTAACACTGACACCAGGAAGAAGAGTCACTTCTAGAATTCAAAGCAAAGGCTCTTTATCTTCTGAGAGTGTCATTACTTATGAAAATATGTCTCCAAATATTCAGCATGGAATCAAGAATGAAAGAAGTAACTAAATTTTTTTATAGAAGAGCATACAGAATCACTGAATTATGTCATGTGACCACTTCTTGTTGTCATAGTCTATTATATGTAAACTCTAAACATCGATGTTGCCGAAAATTACGGATCAAAGCTGAAGCTGCAATCACAACTACAACAAAGTTTTAGAGTTGATTTGTACATATATCTTAGGTTCATGAAAATGACTTATGATGATGCCTTTTGGTGCCTATTAAACATATTGCAATATGGTATGGTCCTGTGTGAGACTTCCTTTGTTTAAAATGCTGTCTACAATTTTAAATTGCAGTTGTAGTTGTAGTTGATACTAAAACCTTAAAAGGAAACAATATATTTAAAATTTGCATATTGATCAGAGTTACTTCCTAATAAACAGAAGGAGTAATATTTATTTGAAAGGTGTAATTAACAGATCCTAATGTGTTATCCATAATAATTTTGGATCTTTCCTTTGTATTGGTAATGATACATTTGAAGCAACTATCAAGCAATTGCAATTGCAATTGCAATTTGCAAATAGAAACAAGCAACATCATCAAATCATGAACAGCATTCAACTTCCACCAAACACCAATCTTCATCTTCATATTTTTCTTCTTTAACTTGTCCAACACGCAACGGATACTCCACTTCTTTTTCATCTAGAGTGCATGAATTTTTGGCATCTTCCACCTCATCATCATCATCTTGTTCAACAACACTTTCATCTTTCACATCATCCACATGGTCAACAACAGTCTCATCTTCCACATCATTCACATGGTCAACAACACTTTCATCTTCCGCATCATTCATATGGTCAACAACACTTTCATCTTCCACATCATCATCATCATCATAGTCATCATCATCCACATACCAATTAGAAATATGGTTCAATGTCCCGGTCGCGGACAACCCGGTAAATTTCAAACCAGGTTGGTCCATGGCCTGAAAATGCTTGAAACTCTCTTTGGGTTTGCTCCTTGGCTTTGGGAGCGGATGCACACGACAACCTGTACACCGCGAGTTGCTGCATTTACCGGTGAATTTGGAATGATTGGTGGGTTTGGAGGGAACCTTTGTGTAGCGTCCAGCTGTAGGAGGCGAATCGAACTGGGTGACGAATCGGGTGCCCGGTTTCGGTAGGATCAGGTATGTCCTCACCATGCCATGTTGCTTACCCTCTCTCTTCATTTTTGTTGAATTGTGGTTTTGAGACAAAGAGATTGATGAGAAATATAGATGAATGTATTGTGATTATATATGTTAAGGTTGTAGACAGCTAGGGGATAAGAACCTTGGGAAGCAAGTTGTCTCTACTTTGTAGTCATGGTCATGCGTGTCGACCAAGTAAAACAAATTATTGTTAAGATTGAATATAAAAATGGAGCAATCAAAACAAATTACTGTTAGATTGAAAGAATAACAATAAATTACTTAACAACTCATTTGACAACTAATTTACAGCACATTACTACTTTTCTCGTAAATTATATGATTTTATGAATACTATATTCGTTATTAATTTAAAACATATTTTAACATTATACTTATTTTTAACTGTGTACAATTTTAAGTAATAAATCAACATGGCACATATTTTCAATTATTTAAAATATAAATCGAGATAATAACTATGGGATTTAACTAGTTATCTATAGATTTAGCAAGTGATCCAAAATTATATTTGTGTGGATCAAAGATCAATATTTTAAATTATTAATTATTATGACAACGAGGTAGGTTGGAGATAATTTTTATCTCTCCTAAACCCAAATTCGAATTCACAATTAATCCCCATTCTCCGTCCTAAACCTAAACAGAGATGGAGAATTAAAATCTAAATTCATTTCAAACGGGTTCAGATTGGGTTCAGGTATCCCCGTCCCACCACTATCTATTTAGTAAAATAATTTTTTACTAAAAGTATTTATTTTTCCAAAATCAAATTACATTATAAATAATAAAACAAAACAATTTCAAAAAAGTTCATGCATACATTTTAAATAATAAATACAAATCAAATTATCAAAATATTAACCACATATTTAATATTCTAAATTATCAAAAATAAATAGTAATATATATAACAAAAATAAACAGGACGGATTTGAGACGGGTTCGGGATAGGTACTAGTGTCCCCATTATCCGACCCGTCCTCATATTTTATAATCGGGAAAAATTCAAACTCGAACCCAAACTCAATCAAAAACGGATATTTCTCATTAACTTTGAGACGGGTTCGAATAGATACCCATAAGTACGAATTTTATTGCCATGTCTAATTACCAGTAAAATATTCTTTTGATACTATGAAGAGTTGAGTCTATTTAACATTGACAAATAGTATATTTGTCCATTATTATACGCTATTAAAATTGTAAGTTATTGATATTATAAATATATTAAATGCTTAGGATATAAAGTAAATGTTAAATATGTTTGCAATCTCCTAAATAATTATATAATATGTTTTTGATACTACGAAGAGTTGAGTCTATTTAACATTGACAAATAGTATATTTGTCCATTATTATACACTATTAAAATTGTAAGTTATTGATATTATAAATATATTAAATGCTTAGGATATAAAATAAATGTTAAATATGTTTGTAATCTCCTAAATAATTATATAATATTTTTTTGAATAATTGTTTTTTTTTTTTAATTTTTCGTTCGTAATTTTGACGTGTATCAACTTTTTCTAATTGAAGTTGACATGGAGGTACATAAGACATATTTTTTAAATAAATGATGAAATAATCAGTTGTCACGTTGGAATTTCTTTGATAATTAATTGACACATTGTATTTATTTATTATTAACAAAATGTTATTCTTTCGCATTTAAATGAAACAAAAAAAATATCATTTCTTCTTCCTCTTATTTTTCTTAACCTAATTTTCTTTCGTCTCCTTATAAATCTCACATAAAAGCTTAACTAAATTCCTCACCTAACATATCAAATCAAAGCTTTTTTTTCATGTCATTTTCACGAAATCTATTTTAATTTCTTTCACATTTGTGAAAAGCTGATCAGAAATAATGTACGGTGTGAATCTCATACGGTGTCCTATTATTATATGATCAGTCGTAATAAAGGAAGGTTTTTCTAAAGATGTCTATTTTGGCAGAGTGACGATACATGTAATTTATTTATATGGGATGAAGAGTTGGAAGAAACAAAAGATGTTAATGGTGTTGGAAATGTAGATGGGAACAAGTTGAAGGAGTTGAAAGTTGTGGAACTATTGAAGGATGTGTATGAAGCTTCAAAAAAGAAGAACAAGAAGTTGCATAAGAAATTGAATTCAAAGGCTTATGTTGAGAAAGTCAAATTGTTGTGTTTTGTAGTTTCTTTATTGATTAACATGTACCTTATAGTTAAGTGTAATTGTTGAAGGAGAGCCATATTAGTGTTTTCCAATGATGCTAATTAATTATTGTGTAATGAAATCACCTAAATGTAATGACTATTTTTTAATGGAATAATAGTGTTTGAGACATACTAATCACATAATGTTGAGTAAATTTAGTATTAATGTTGTTTGATTTTTAGTGTAATTCTAAAAAATGACTATTGATTATGGCAGAATTTTTCCTTATTTTTTTTGCCTACTTTTGTTTGCTTATAATTAGGGGTGTTTGCGGTGCGGTTTGGGCGGTTTTGAAGCAAAAAATCACCCGAACCGCAAGAGAAAAAAACACGCGGTTCGGTTTGGTTCGGTTGGTTTTTAAAAATAAATCTGAACCAAACCAAACCAAACTAATGTGGTTTGGATTGGTTCGGTTGGTTCGATTTTTTACAAAAAAAATTATTAAGTCATACAAACAAATATAGAGGAAAATATAATTTTGTGTTTAATTGTTCGTACATTACCATAAAAAAATTTATAATTGTCAAAATAAGTTTATAATTTGATACATAAAATTGTGTATTATAATTTTATCTAAATCTAAAGAATGATATAAACAAGATTGCATTCTTAAATAACTATTATACAAAGAATACGATAAAATATAGTTTGTGGAAATAGTATTTATAAATGAATAATATTTTATTTTTGTATGATTTGTAAATTAAAATGAATATACAAGGTATGATAAAATATACACATAATACATGTTTATTTCTCTAAAGAATTAAAGAAATATATATTGGTTAGTAAGATTTTATAACATAATGCGGTTTTGTTTGGTTTGGTTCGGTTTGTAAAATACAAACCGCGAACCGAACCAAACCGTGCGGTTCCGCGAGAAAATGACCCAAACACATCCAAACCAAATGAGGTTTTTTGCGGTTTTGGTTTAGTTCGGTTCGGTTTTGCGGTTTTCTATTGAGCCGGTTTGGTTTTGAACACCCCTACTTATAATGGCATAGTCAGTGGCAAAATTTTAGAGTACGACATAAACTTTAGCAGTAATTTCCATTACACTGTCAAGTTCCAATACATTTTCAGATCATTATATTTCTGATATATTTTGACAGCAATATTGACATCAATGTCTACCACATTTTTTAATAGCTTCCAAACAAAATATACCAATGATTTTGTTGAAGATCAACAAAGAGTATGTTGTGCAAATTCTGTTTTGTGTATATAATAATCGCTCAGAGAATTTTATGTAAATTAATTATTTATTTGTTTTTTCTTTACCACATTTAATCTTATCAGTGTTCGCAGGAGTTTTTCGTGAATAATCTCTAGCCTCTTAATTAAAGGTTAGTTGCAGGACCAACTACAAGAGTCCTTGACTTAATGTTAAGTTTGAGAGTGTTTTGATGTTTGAAATGATTAAAGTACGAAAAACACAATAAGAAAAGGATAAAAGACAAAGACAAATAATTGATAAATAAATGGCAAGGCTGAAATGATAAACAAGACTTGAAATAAACTGCTTTGAATTTAAAGGTGGATGCAATTGTACATTTTTCAGAACTGACTCGTTTCTCTAGCGCTGGTACTTTGAGTACTCTCTTACAATGTTACAAAATGTGACCCCGAAAATAAATACAACAACTTGCTTAAATAGATGCTAAAATGTAACCGTCGATGGTTACTTGAACAACTCACGTTGAGAGTTCGTGTGGAATTTCTTTCAAACCTTCCACGTTCTGCTGACACTTGTAGTTGGCAACCTCTTTTGCCGCCACTTGCTCTTATTTTCGACTGGACTAGGCTTCGTCGACCTAGCCTCTGCTTCCAATACTATTTCGACTCAATTTATGGGGATTACCCTCAAATCTTGTTGATGGTCCATGTTTATTCACCTGCAAAATAATTGACCTTCCTTTTGATAAGATACCATCCCGTTTGTGGCCTAATCCTCCGAGTCGAAAATTGCTTGCCAACAAATTGCCCCCCCAAAATACCAATTTCGACAGAGCTTCTTTCATTTGAGAACTTTTGTGTTTTAACTTTTTGAATTTTAGACTGCACATCTTTTCAAATGATGTCATGCATCATGGTTGCCACTTTCTGCGCCACTATTCCCCATGTCAATCCATCATTTCTCATAATAGCTCCTAGTTTCTAGGATATGGAATTTCAAAAAACCCTACTAACTCTTCCACTCCTGAGTTTAGAGACAATCATTACTATCTAAATGGGTGCCACTTGTCCACTATCGATGACCTCAATGAGCCTATAAATACCCCTTTGCGCTTGTTGTCTCTTCTTCTTCTTCTTCTTCTTCTTCTTCTTCTTCTTCTTATTCTTCTTCTATCTTGCACCTATTTTTATTTATAAACGCTGTTGAACCATCAATTTTTCTTTCTATAATCTTTTGGGTACGAAACACCCATCATTCTTGCTCTTTTTCCTTCTCTTTCATCGCAATGGTTGATTCTTCCGCTGACCTGATGAACACCGGTAACAACCCTGCGGCCCTCACTCTTTCTGAAGAAGAAAATCTGGAAGTGATTCCTCAACCACCATCTAAGGATGAACACAAAGTGAAAAGATGGAAACAACAAATGCTTATCTCATTTGTTATTACGGAAAAACTCTTCCCATTCCACGACCCACTCCCAATGTCAACAAAATCATCCCAAGAAAGTTCAGGAGTATTTTCCTTGTTTCAGCCCAGTGTAGCCTGTAGCTTTCGACCATGAAACTCCGATTGAAGCTAGATTCATAGGGTCTAGGGTTTTTCTATCAATACATACCCCATGTAAAAAGACTTATCG